CGAGCCTTGGAGGCTGGATGAGACCCGTGAGGTGCGTCTGTCCTGGCCGTCCTCCTGCAGCTGACCCGGCATCGCCGCAGCGGGGAGGATGGGGCAGGAACCGGGCGAGCCGCGGCGGCGTGGGGATCGCAGCTCTGGTGTGACGTGTCTCTTTGCAGGGCAATCGGGAGGAGGCCGATAACCCCAACACCGGGATCGGTGCGTTTCGCTTCATGCTGGAATCCAACAAGGGAAAATCGATGCTGGAGTTCCAGGTACCGCTCGTCACCGCGTGGCACGGGGCGGGGGGGTTGGTTGGGTCTGTGGCTGTGTCTGTGGTGCTTTACGTTCGGAAGAGAAGCGGGGCTTTCCTCTTGGGGCACAGCGCGGGGTTTGTGGCGCTTCCAGGGGCTGGTGCAGCAGCAGAGCCCTTGGAATTTGGCTTCTCTCTGTAAATGCTCCTTGGGGTTCGCGAGGCTCCGTGTGGAGCGTTCTTCTGATCCAGCGTTTTCGGGGAGCTGGTGCTGGAGGGCCCCGGTGGTGCCTCCAGGTACCTCGACCCGTGGCGTTCAGCCGGCCGCTTCGTTGGTGGGTTTTATCCTCTCCCTGTAAAACGGGGGAGGTCTCGCTCCGCGTTGGAAAGCCGGCGAAGGTCTTTTCGTCCAAAGACATGGCGACTGTGGAATTGGGAGTCTTGATGGTCCGTGCCCTCACGCCAGAGCGCTGTCTGAGCAGTCTGCGTGCCCTCCTGCCGCGGGCTCGGCCTGTCTCTCGTGAGGACAAAGCAGCCGTGAAATGAAAAAGTCCAAAGTGCCGAGGGAAACTGCTGTAACGCTTATCAGCTCTGGTGAACGGAGCAGGGGGAGTCCGTGCCGAACAGAGGACTGAGAGCCGAGATTCTTCGGGGCCTTATTCCAGCCTTTCCGAGGGAACTGCTCCTGCAGAGCAGAGCAGAGCCGAGCAGCCAGGTGAATTAAGAGAGTTTAGAGCACCCTGAAGTCGTGACTCGATAGCCTTTGGGCGCCCTCCTTGTCAGGCAGGACGCCTGGCCCCGCACGTACGCGTCGTTACGACAGCGCTCGGAGATTTGTGAATCCTTTCAAGTTAAACTCGGGCTTCCGCAGTAACTCCAAACAATTCTTGTGCAGCCTGTAAGTGCACCCACTGGAACGGGAGGAGAAATTAGACCGTAGCTCTGCTGCAGAGGCAGCGAAGCAGGGCTTGGATGCCTCTCAGGGTAGGCGCCTCAAGTCTGCGGTGCCGCTGTATTTGGGGGTCCTTTGCTGCAGGCCGCCAGCTTTTCCCGAAGCTGACTTCTTGCCTGGCTCGTTTCCCTTGAATGGAAATACTCCGGAGGCGGCAGACAGAAGTGTTTATAGTACTGGGCCTGTGTACATGGGGTGGCTCCGTTGTGTGTATTCCTTAGGCTGGGTTTGTGTTTGGGAAGCTGAGCTAAGTCCCTGCCAGTTTCTGAAGGGAAATTTGTGTGGCCTGGAGAGAGAAATGTTTCCTTGGGAAACGTTGTCACGGTTCAGCCTGGGGGGCTGCGAGACGACGGGGTCTGGCGTGCGGAGTCCTGGGATCCCTGGGGCAGAGCGAAGCGCCAGCGGCTTGGTCTCCTTGGTGATCCCCTCATGGGGTCGGGTGGGGTGAGCCGGGCTCTGCCCTTTGCCATGCTGGCTCCCAGGACGCTGGGGGTGCCTTCCACCTCCCCTCCTTCTTGTCTTTTTGATAAATCTTAGCTCCACAACTCTGGAAGCCCTTTGCTTATGGACTCGGGAGTTGCGAACATTCCCTGTGATCCTCGCGGTGGCGAAGGACGGGGCAAAGCTCCGTGGTCCTGCGGCCAGAAACTGGCTCGGCTGCTGGTAAGGCCGGTCCCCACCTCGGCGCTCGGCCTGAGCCCCTCTTGCCCTTGCAGGAGCTGATGACCGTCTTCCAGCTGCTG